AGGGTCTCTGGGCTTGGGGGGTGGAGGGGGGATGGGGCCTCGGGAGGCTGAGCCTGGGGAGCTAGGGATAGCTCTGCGGGGTGGTGGGGCTGCAGATCCCCCCTTCTGTCCCCACTATGAGAAGGTGAGTGGTGACTATGGGCATCCTGTGTACATTGTACAGGATGGGCCCCCACAGAGCCCTCCAAACATCTACTACAAGGTATGAGGGCTCCTTCCTCTTGACTCTCCTAAATCAAGCCCTTCTTAGGGTGCTCCTCTGGTTTAATTCATGGTTTGAGGGACACCTCTGGCATCTCCTTGGCCCCCTTTGCTCCCACTAGCTCCTTTGTTACCCCTGGCTATTCCTCTTGTCTCTACTTTTAGGATCCCTTAAGATTTCCACTGCACCCCTCCTGCCCTGGCATTTGGCCATGGGCACCCCTGTGTCTCTTTGTCCCTTGGGGAGGAAGCACAGGCTCAGCCTCCTCTCTGATCATGACCCAGGTATCCATGTCCCCTTTGTCCACCCAGAGTAGGGGCAGGAACAGTCTCATTTGGTTGGCACTTCTTTATGCCTCTTACTGTTTTTCTCTTCTTTCTATCTCTCATTCTTTCCCTCTTTCCTGTCTCTAGGTCTGTTCTGTTCTTCCCTAGCATCTTCCTCCTTACATCTCCCTTTACCCTCTTGGCTTCTTATCCCGTGCCTCTCCCATCTCCTAGGTGGGGGCATCAAAGCACTTCTCCCCTTAGCTCTCAGCCCCGCTTCTGACCTCTCATACCAACCACTCCCCTCAGTCCACCAAAAGTGGGGGCCCTTATGGGGAAGGCTCTGGCACACCACCCCTGCTCAGGGCATGGGTAGTAGGGCCTCCTCTGCTCTGCCCCAAGCCTCTACATACTTACTCCAGCCATTTGGGGTGGTTGGGTCATGACAGCTACCATAAGAAGAAGTGTCCTGTTCTGTCCAGTGGCTGACAGCAAGATATGAACCAGTTGGGACATTGTGGACTTGGTCTGATGCTGAAAGGGCCACTTGGGACAGAAAGTGACTCTCTCCAGACAAGAAGTGGCTAGGCCTGGACAGAAGTGGCCTGGAAAGTGGCAGAAGCAGTGCAGCAGGAACTGGAAGTGCCTTCATCCAGGACAGGAAGTAGCACTTCTGAAATAGGAAGTGGTCTGGCTGGAACTCCAAGTGGCTTAGTCTGGGGGGGTTGGGGGTGGGAGGTGGATGGTTCTTACCTGTGGAGAAGCGGGCAGGAGGAACTTCCTGTTTCAAGAGGAAGCTGGAACTTAACTGTAAGAGGACAGAGGTGGACTGAGGAAGACTTTCCTAGCATTCAGTGGCACTTCCCAGTATCTCCCTTTCCATGTGCTCTGTGTGATTTTAAGACAGCTAAGATGACTGCCATCTGCTATGGCAGGCCCAATTTGTCTTGTTTGTCCCTTCCTGTATCTCAGTATAATCTCTGTTAATCAACAGAACTACCCCAAGAGCCCGTGTTCTCCCCCAGTAACCAGATGGCTGTCTTGTTCATTGCATCTTCCCTTCAGAGCCAACATGGCTCCCTTCTTAGTGACCAAAATGGTGGCCTACCAACTGGTCTAGCTGACAGTGGTACTTAGAAATGACCACTGTTTCCATAGTCACCAGCCTATACCTCTTCCTGCTCTCTAGTGCACAGTTGGCTGTTGCCTCAGTTTCCTCCCATCTCAGTTTTATTAGATCAAAGCTGCCCTTGGACATCAAGTCACCTCAATCACCAGCCAAGATGGTTGCTTTGTCCACCAGAGGTCAAGTCATCTCTCTGGTGCTGTATAGTTCCCAGCTCCTTCCAGGGAACAGGAAGTTGATATTGCCATGGGGGAGGTGGCGGGGTATGGCCGTCACCTCACTAGTTTTACTGTAAAAGGGAAATTTGAACAACAAAAACCAAAAAAAGAATAAAAAACTTCAAAATTTGCTGAGAAGGCTGGAGAATGATGATGTGAATCTGGTGGTCAGGATGGCTTTCAAACTGAGGGGTGGGTGATGAGAAGCCAGGAGGGATGGGGAGAAAGAGTTGGAGTGTGATGTGAGCAGTCTATGGGGAGGGGTTCATGGGCTGGGAGAGAAGGCTGAGGAGGAAGGTGACCACCTCCATCCAAGGGATGGAGAGAACTCAGGCTGGGGGTGCTGCCAGAACGCTCCAATGAAGATGTTCAGGAATTACAGTCACACATACATAGCGTCTGATGCCAATCCAAAGCACCTGGGAAGTAAGGCAAGTCCCAATTAGCAGACTGGTGAAACGTGTGTGTAGAATCCTATTCCCTAGCACCCCTCCTCAAGGCATCTCTGAGTTTTGTCATTGGAGACTGAAGTAGCTGATCAGACGAAAGTAGGAAGGACCCAGGTGTCAAGTGCTCATCTCAGGCCTGTATGCTCATCACCCGCCTCTTCTCTCCCCAAAAGCACAGGTGCCCAGCCCCCTAGACTCAGTCCCATTCTCCAACCACAAAAGCACCCGTCAGGAGCATCACTGGAGTGAGTCAGCAGGGGTCACAACCTCTGCCCTTCCCGCCCTTCCCCTGACTTTAGGTTCCCTCCCTGCTGTATCCCATCTGCCTGGAGGTCAAGGGTCCCCTTTCCACTCCCTGTCCACTGGGTCCCCTGTCTCTCCTCCACCTCAGCCAGAGCCCTGGGCCCTGAGAGGTACAGGTGATGCTAGAGGGGAGTTGGGAACTGGGGAGTCAGGTGCTGGGCTGTCTGGAATTTACTCCTGCCTTCAGAGCCCACACTGGAGCTGCCTGAGGTGGGGAGGCTCACAGGGGGTGGAAGGGCTGATCCCTGGCCCTTAGTGGGGGTTGGTTGTCTTGGCAACATCCCCTTCTCCACACAATGGGAAGCCCCCCTCAGCCTCCCGCGTGGATGGAGCCGACAGCCCCATCGCTGGCTATCAGCCTCAGGGACTTGGCAACCGTCACTATGGCAACTCAGAGCCCAGCAACAGGGCCCACTGAGAAAGGGAGGGGTCCAAGACTGGGGCAGGGCTGTGTGTGAGGGGCAAGGGAGCAGAAAGAGAGTCCCCCCTGACACATGGGTCTATAAGTGGGGAGACAGGAGGTAATAGACATGGGGATAAATAGTCTCTGTGACAGAGAAACACCTCACCAAAGCAGTCAAGACATCATGACATGCTGAGAGACAGGAAGACACCTGGGGACAGATGCACAGCTGGGAAGAGGAACAGCACATACCACACAGCACCCTGGGACACACCCCCTCAGAGCGCTGGCATCTACAGACTCCCCATCAACTCCTGACATTCACACGCAACACCTACAGCCTTTCACGTGTGCAGTGACTTATGTGTCTTTAAAGCTATTTGAAAATACTAGTGACTTCCCCACGGAACAACACATACCATCTTGTTGGCTTTTCTGGTTACAAGTGCAGACGGCAGCAACTACAAAAAGAATATGGGAGCAGGGAGACATTCATTGTTCACTCACTTGGTCACTTGCCATCATGTCTACTTTGTTCCAGGTACTATGTCTGGCACTGGGAATTCATGGTGGATAAGGTAAAGTCCCTGCTTTCCTGAAGTTCACATTTTTCTGGGTTTATTTATAATTTAAAAAATAATCCACATCCCCCCTTTTCCAGTGCTGGGGATGGAACCCAGGGCTCATGCATGCTAGGCAAATGCCCTCCCACTGAGCCACACCCCCAGCCCTGAAGTCTACATTTGGACGGGGAAAAAGATAATATAATTTCAGGTAATGAAAAGTAATATAAAGAACAAAGTAACAAGATGGAGAGTAACAGGGAAATGCTTCAGATTAGGCCAGAAAGCTCCTTCTGAAATAACTGGAAACTGGAATAACTAGGATCTGGAATAATGAGGAGTAAGCCAGGCACTGTAGGGAAGGGCATGCCAGACAGAAGGAACAGCACGAGCAAAGGCACAGAAACAAAACCTTGGCCTGCTCAGTAATAGCAAGGACAATGGACCATACACACACGCCCTGGTCTCTGTTAGCCTCAGCCAGGTGGGGAGCAAGTCACTTAGGAAGTGACTTGCATTTAGGAAGTTGATCTCATTCATTTCCTCCTTTTTTCTTTTTTGCTTTCCTCTGTCTCTCCTTCCCTCCTTTCCAAACCTCCCTCTCTCCTTTCCTTCCTTTATCTTCTTATTTCTTTCATGGTACCGGAACCACGAATGGGCTAGAACCCGCTGAGCTACAATATCAGCCTGCTGTATTTTATTTATTTATTTATTAAAAACAAGTTGGGAGGGCTGGGGATTTAGCTCAGCGGTTTGGTGGCCTGCCTTGCAAGCGCAAAGACCAGAGTTCAATTCCTGCTCCCCCCAAAAACACAAAAAAACAAAAAACAAGTTGGGAGCCGGGCATGTAATCCCAGCACTCGGGAGGCTGAGGCAGGAGAATCGCTGTGAGTTCGAGACCAGCCTAGGCTACATAGTGAGTTCCAGGTCTGTCTCAACTACATTGTGAGACCCTGTCTCAAAAAACAACAAAACAAAAACAACTTGGGGGGATATTAGGGATTGAACTCAGGGCCTTTGCATTGAGCTACATTTCTAGTCCCTATCTATGTACTTATTTATTTATTTGGTTTTTGAGACAGTATCTCACCATGTAGTTCAGGCTGGCCTCAAACCCACTATGTAGCCCAGGCTGGCCTTGTACTCTGATGCTCCTCCTGCCTTAGCTTCCCAAGTGCTGGGGTTACAGATGTGCATCACCATGCCTGGCCCCAGTCCCCTTGTTAAATTATTATTTTAATAATTAATTAACTAATTAATTATTTTATGTATGGGAGATTGAACCCAGGACCTTCACACAGAGCTACATCTCCAATCTTTTTTTATTTTTTAAGGCAGGGTCTCACAAAGTCACCTAGGTTGGGGTTGAACTTGCAGTCTTATTCTCCCAGAGTTGTTGGTTCACAGGCAGGCAGTACCACATTTATCTTCATTCACACAAACACACACACACACACACACATTTTTTTTTTTTTTTTTTTTTTTGTACTGGGGGCTGAACTCAGGACCTTATACTTGTGGGAACTTGCGCTAGCCAGGCAGGTGGCAGAACCACTGAGCTAAATCCCTGCCTATCTTAATTTTTATTTTAAAACAAGGTCTTGCTATATTGTCCAGGTTGGCCTTGAACTTGGATCCTTCTGCCTCAGCTTCCTAAATAGCTGAGTAGCTGGGATTACAGGCGTGCACCACCCACCTGGCTTCTCCCTTTGTTTCTTGTGTGTCTGTGAATTACATGTGTTTTCCTTTAAGCTCTAGGAGGGCAAGGATGATGCTCTGAGTTTTGGGAGCTAAGACAGATACAAAGTCCAAAGCATAGAATACAGGAACAGTCAGGCAGAGTCAGGCAGAGTCAGGCAGAGTGGAAATAACAGGATGGAAAGGGCTAGGGGGACCACAGAGCTGCCGCCCACCCCAACAGCATAGGATCCAGACTGACTTAGGGCTTTAGCTACATATGGGAATGAAAACTTTGTCATCCTTCCAAACAGAAGCAGTCGAGGAATATAAATTTCATGTGAAGAGTCTGTGTGTGGTTTGTGTTGGGGGGCGTTAAAAGGGGAGTGGGGCAAGGAGTTGCAATAGGAATTTCTATAGGGAATGGCTTATATCACATCTGGAATTTCAGTTAGAATGGAAAAAAGTAGAGCTTCCTGAGGCTACACGGGCACGCATGGACACGGGGGCTTCCTAGTGAGAGATTTGGGGTCTGTAGGAAGCCTGAGAAAAGTGTTGCAGGTTGGGCTGGAAGCGAGGGATTGGCTGGCATGGGCTTGTAGAGTTGGGTATAAGAAGGAAAACGGATGCAGAATGAGTGTCAATGATAACTGGGTAGAAGGAGTGATACGGAGGTGGAACCCTGGAAGGAGTTCTGAGGGGTCCAGGCCCAGGTACCCCTCATTCTCATAGGGAATTGAAGCCGTTGGTTTCCTGGTTCTCCCTCTTCCCTTGTTGGCAGCAGAAACTCAGGCACCAGCTCCCCCCAAACCCAGTGGCTGGTGGGGTGGGGGGAACTGAGCAGCTTCAGGGGGCGGCAGCTGGTGAGTAGGGAGGAATCTGTGTGCTCAGCAAACAGCAGCCTCAGTGCCCAGTGGCTGCGTCCTCCCTCATCAATCAGCCCCAGCCAAATGTCCTTGCATTCCCACCACCCCAAGGGGACTGGGGCTGGGCCAGGGTCCCCAGGGGAGTGAGATGGGGTGGGTGGGGGTGGTGCTTGGCTTCCCATCCCTTGGCCTCTGTTCTCCTCTCTGGAAGCTCTCAGATCTTCATGTCATGGAATGACTCTGTCCTGGCCCCTTCCACTGAGGGGGCATCAACTACAAATCACCTGTGGGGGGCTATTTGGGGAAGGAGGGAAGAGGGATGAGGGCTGCAGAGGAATCCACTGCGGTTCTCACGGGACTGGCCCAGAGCACAGCCAGCAGGGAGGCTGCTGGCACAGAGTCCCTGCTCCCCCAGCTGGCCTCTTTGTCCTGATGGATGCTCTGGACCGAAGACTCTGGACCTAACACCCTGCATGTCCTCTCTTTCCCACCTTCTCCTTCCTAATCCTTGGCCCTCAATGCACACTCCCACCAAGATCTAGAGGTCTGGCACCCCAGGTCACCCCAAATCTGCTGCTCTCTATTGGAGACTGGGGCCTGTAGACCTTAGCCTCTGGCTCATCATCCCCCTCCTTAGCCCTTGCTCCCCTCAGGGACCCAGGCGTCCTGCCCACTCCCTTCACCATAACAACCATTCTTTTTGGAGTTGCTTAAGACTTTAATATCATTTCATTAAGTCAGTAAGTTCAGAGAGGGTTGGGGGCACAAAGAGATTGGGGGTTGGCCAAAGAGGGCCAAGGTGGGGGGAAGAAGGGAAGAGCCCCCTCCCCTCTCTGTGGAGATGGCTCTGAGAAATCAAATATTGACAGTGAGAGAGCAGAACTTAATAAATCTGGGACAGGGGTATGTGTGGGGAGCTGTGGGAATGGCCGGATGCCTGGGTTCTGAGGGTGATGAGGTTCTGGGAGGAGGGAGAAGCCTGTGACTGGGGGGATGCACAAGGTTGAGGGCCTTGAGGGTGCAACTGTTCTGCCCCTTTCATTTGGGCTGTGCTTAGTCTTGCTACCCTGGTTGTTTCTCAGCTGTCCCCTAGAGCCCCTGGGGACAAGACCCCCATCACAGCTGTGGCTGCCCCCCTTCATTGCTTCCCCCACCTCCACCTATGTTGATGAGCTTCAGCAGTGTTTAATCGGATTGAGCAGTAATTAGCAAAGCGAGATGTTTGATTACCTATTTAGCATAATGTTGGGGGCTGGGATCCCTAGACACAGCCATAGTTGAGGGGGAAGTCAGAAAAGAAATGGGGTCTATGCAAAGTTCCTTTCCCTGGGGGATTTGTGAACCTGCCCTTGAGGTTCTCCACTCCATGCCTCCCCTCAGATTTTCACTCCTGTGGGACTTTTCCTTGGAGGTTCTGACCAATCGCTTTCTTTCTCTCTGCCATCTGGTTTAGAGGATCACCCACATGTCCCATCTTAGCCTTGCAGAGCTGTGCAGCTGATTTTGGGGTATGGTAGGGTCTCAGCAACAAGAGTCTGAGCTGGGCAAGAGGCCACAAATCAGAGTCCAGAAACCTACCTTAAGTGGTGGCTGGGGGTGGGCAAGGGCAGACAGAGGCTGCCAGTTCTGGAAAGAAAGATAGAGTAGGTGGAGAGGTCAGGGTTGGGTTGGGGTGCAGATCATCATTCCATCTGCTCTTCAGGAGTGCCAGGGACTGCCACTCTGGCAGTGCCACATTGGTATAAGACCTGTCAGGTGTGAACATCAACCAAAAAAAGGGGAAACAGAGGTGCCAGCTTCTCTCCTCATCCAGCAAAGAAAATGTCATCAATTTAGCTCCTCATGGAAATGTAATCAGTGGGCTCACTGCTGGCTTTGTCTTAATTAGGCACTATTGATGGAAGCAGGGAGGGCGCCTCCCCATCCCCCTGATGCTGCTTTCTCCCTGTGTTTCCCACACCTCCCCAAAGCCTCTCACTGGGTAGAGCTAAACCTTCTAGGCGCCGTCCAGTGACCCCGGCCTGCAGCGCCCCCTAGCACCCACTGAGGTCTACCCCTCCTCCTGAACCCTTCTCCATTCGCTTGCCCAGGACGCAGCCTTTGTTCCTATGGAGAGCAAAGCCCCACCCCGGCCGGGTCACCTTCCCCAGGGAGTCTCCGCCTCCCAGTATCCCCCCCACACCCACCGATGCTTTCCAAAGCCGATCCTCGGATTCCAAAAACTCCAGTTCCAGTGTTCCTTCCTTTCTCTCGCCCCGCCTCGTCCCCCCTCAATCCTAGACCCCAGTCCGGGCTCAGATAGGGGAGAGAGCAGGAGGGCAGGGGTGCTCCAGCCCCGGTTTTTCCCCCAGACCCAGCTGCAGCCAGGGCTGTCTGGAAATCCTGGAGCATCTTCTAGATGGCGAACAAGCCTCAAAGGCGGGACCCCGGGGCGCCATCTGCTGGACCCGCTCGGGCTGGAGCCCACACACCTGGGAACAGGGTCCGGTGTTTGGGTTCCCCTGCCTTTTCATTGTCTTGTGGAACTATGGTGCATCGTCTCTAGCCCCAACCCTTCCAGCTTGGTCCTCACACTACCCCCTCCCCTCTTCCGGCCTGCCAAATTCAGTAGCTTTCCCCTAGGCCCTCAGCCCTCCTGCCCCAGGTCCACGCAGGGGAGACCTGCGCCGGGTAGGGCTGCGGAGCAGGGATTCAGGGCGCCTGCGCAGAGGTGGCCGGCTCCGGCAGATCCGTCACTTACCCCACCCGGCCCGGGGTTTCCCTGGCGACGCGTGCAGGCGCGGGGCCCAGAGGGCCACGCGGGGCATCTTCTTAACTGGTGTGGCCAGTCGGTCGGCCTAGGGAAGAGAGGGTCGGCTTGTGAGTTGTGTGTGTTGGGGCAAAGGGAAGGAGGGAAGAAATCTGGGGAGGGGCAGTAGTGAGGCTTGGAAGGGTCAGCTGAGTGGGGGAGAAGAGGCAGTTGAGGAGGGACGGGGAGCAAGGGATAGTAATGGGGGGAGGGGG